TGGATGGTGCCGACACGATTGGATTGATACATTCTTAATATTCATAAACCAGTAGTCCATTTTTATGAGCTCACTTATGGGTTCTTTGGAGCATACTGCATCCATGATCCACATGGAGTCCCCACTGTACCACCAATATTGAGATATGGAGACACATGTACGTGGGGTCCTAGCTTAAGCTTCCTGCTTATGGGCGGCCATAACATGAAATTTTTGGATTTTGAAACTCTATATTTTTCTTTGGCAGACAAAAACGCCACGAAAACTTTCAAGTTTTCAAAATCAAAAGTTTTTTCATCAACAAAAAAACTTTAAATTTTCAAAATCAAAAGTATTTATGGCCTCAAAGGCACTTAAGTTAGGGGTCAAAATTTGTTAAACTTTGAATCTGAACTTTGGATCTTTAAAATCTAAAGTATAGGCAATCCCTTCATTTTAAAAAAAAGAAAAAGAAAAAAAATAGGTATATATGTAATGATATAAATTTGTTTAAATAACGGTACTTTAAAAGGATATGCAGTTTATACACAAATTACTCTCTTGAAAATTTGTCTTTGACCTGTCATGCTGTTGCCCCGAGTGAAGTGAAATTCTTATATATAGCACCACAAAGGAATAGTTAAAAGGAAAAAGATTATATAGGATTACAACTTTATATTATTGAAATAAGGAACCTAAAAAATCCTATAGAAGAGAGTATTTTGATGTTGGAGAACCATCTAATGGATCATCTCAATATCGAGATATATGGACATGAAAGAAAAAAAGAATTCCAAATCCAAAAACCAAAATATAGTACATCTTGTAATAAATTATCTAGACGGTCTATTTTCAAGATTTTTCAAAGTGTTTATCAATATGCTTAAAGTGTACCATTTTTATAAGGGAAAGGTTTCTATACTTCCTCTACAGTATAGAAGTTCTATCAACCCCCTACCATCCAGCCGTCCAATTTTGATCAAGAGAGGCACTCACCTTTTGATCTTATATCCGACATATCAGAGTATTTTTTTATTATTTATTTTTATACAATTGTATTAATATGAAATTTGGTACATGCCATCTTCTCATTGAGACGCACCCATAAAAAATGTTAAAAATAATTTTTTGATAAAATATCACGATCAAAATACCCCTTGAAACTTTTAGGGGTATTTTGGTATTTTATTTTATTGAAAATATTTTTTTTATATTTTTCGCTAGTGCGAATTTAATATAGGAATAGACATCCAAAATTTGGTGTCAAAATAGTTTATAGAAAAAAATTAAAAATAAAATAGTGTAGAAACGTAACATTGTGATTCGGACAATCTTAGCTCTCCATTCAAAATAGACGATTGGATAAGGAAAAGAGAGAACTTCTATGCTGTAGATCATAGAAAGTTTGCCCTTTTTATAATTTTAACTTCTATAAGCAGGGACAAAAATGGTTTTCAAGTCACCATTAGTTTTTACCATAAAACAAGTTTTAGAGGTGTGCCTTACTTCTACGGCAACCTTATACAAACTTTGACCAAGTAATAAGAGCTCCAAGCTCCAAACAAGTAGGATTAGAGAGAGAGAGAGAAGAGAGAAAGGGTCTTGTTTCTTGAGAGAGAGTCAAATGTCATTTCCCGAGAGAGATCACATGGCTGCAGATATGTTGTCTTCAATAGATTAGAGAGAGTGAGAGGAGAAAGAAAAGAACACATGGCTTCAAAGTCAGTGTCAAAACTCAAAAGGATTAGAGCACATGGCAACGAAAACGGAGAAATATGCAAAGAGGCCATTTATTTTTTCATGACCTCATCCATGGTTCTCTCCTTGTAAGACGGGTTTTAACGTTTATTCTGATACCTCAATCATCAAAATAACATTAATGCTAATAAAATAATTTTTACAGTCAAAATTTTGCAGAGTAGGGATTTTCAAATGAAAGATTGTTTCATGTGAGCTGTAACGCATTTCTACAATACACCATCTAGAAGTATAAATATTAAAGGTAAATGCAAAGAGGTGGTTCATCTAAAAACAATGGTAAAACAGTCCAAATGTTTTTTTGCTATGATTATTATTTCTATTATTTTTCATATTCGTGATTTTTTAAAAATTAAGATGAAATTATATTTAAAAAATATATTTATTGCCAAACATGCATTTCTACAATAGGCGGGCTGACCGCATAAAAACCGTATCCTTTCCAAATATACTCACTAGAATGATTAGTGTTTGTATAGGTAAATATGGCCTCACAAGATCCCGAGTTAATGCAAAAAAAAGGCGAAGAAAAAGAAAGATACAACATAAAGTTTTATTAAAGCGTGGAGTACGACTTTATCGACATGCACATACGGTATAAAGGCCTATTTGGATGTACTTGTTATCACTTGTAATTTACTTTCAATAAAATTATTCCTAATAAACCATTTATTACAGGTTGTGTCCATGATAAAAGTATTTAAGATATACATATAGCACTTTACATATAAGTTTATCTTTTTAAAAAACCTTTTACTGAAAGTAATCTGTTGAACATCAATTTTTTTACTAAAAATAGCTAGATATTGCTGAAAAATTAAATAATTGAATAACGTTACGTATAAGACAAGATACATAGCAAACAACCAAAGGAAATTATATTATCCAGAATATTTTTATAACAACCCCTTGACCAGTTTTTCCATTCTTTCACTCCAAAATGATTCAAAATAAAATACACCTGCTATTTTTAAA